CGTGTGGGCAGACCAACTGCCAAACGACACGCGGAGTCAAATAACGACAAATACAAAAAAATAAACAAATAAAAAAGGGTCTGCCAGCTGTGAAGCAAGGCCTTCATTGCGTGCGCAAAATGAGGATGAATCCGCTGCTAGAACATGGGAAGATACGCCGGCATAAAGCCCTCCAAACTGAGAAGTAATCTTCCTTCAGTAACATGGGAATATACACCACCATGGGCCTCGCTGCACTACTCTCGAAATGTGCAAAACGAGAGTGAATCTTCCACTAGAATATGGAAAGATGCACTGCCATGATTTTTGTCTTTTGTGCATGTCGAGAGTAGTGCAGCGACGCCCCATATTTCGCATTTGTTCATGTGGTGGTTCATGGAGCGACGCCCTGTGTGCAACAACCCAAAAACAAAACAAAACAAAAAAAATTAAAACGACACATCTGTCAGCTGTGCAGCACGGCCCCCGCTGAACGTGCAAGAGAGAATGAATCACCTGCTAGAAAATGGGGAGATATGCCGCCATATTTTGCAACCTTTGTCCATGTGGTGAGCCGCGCATTGCTTTGCGCTTGTATTCGAACATTTGACATGTCGGCACTTCCTGTGTGCAGCACGCCCCACCAGAACCGCCTTCCCCCACGATTCTCCTGCGCCTTCGGCACCGCCTCCGAACCCAATTATTCTGGGCCCACGGGCAGCGTCACCCGAGGGCCACTTTTACTTTTACAAGGACAAGCGGACCCCCCCGCAGCTACACTGACGCAGCGGATGTTTTTTTTTGTCAAACGTCGTCTCCACAAGGCGCCTTCAAGAATCCACCGAAGAGCTAAGGTTTCTTGACGACTCTTTGGTATAATGGATGGAACTAATTGGGTGGTTCCGGAGATTCTGACTTTTCTTACTTCTAAAATAGGTGAGGGTAAGCGAAGGTCGACGTAGGGGGGAGGTCCCTCCGTGCAGTCGTCCACTCGTCGCCCTCTCTCTTTCTCTGTCTCTCCTCTATCCGCTCGACCTCCTTTCTCTCTGCCTCTCATCGATTGTCTGCTTCTCTCTCTCTCTCTCTCTCTCTCTCTCTCTCTCTCTGTGTGGTGATTCGTGCTCCGTGCCGTCGTCCGCTGGTCACTGTCTCTCTTTCTCTGTCTCTACTCTCCGTGGCTCGACCTCATTCGCTAGTGCACATTGACTGATTGTCGATTTTTTTTTTTTTTTTGGGAAGCAGGCCTGTGTTCCTCATGGTCGCCATGCCCGAACATGTCTTCTTGAAGGTCGTGATTGCCTCCTTCCCCTCATTCGTGCACATCTTTTCTCGTCGTTCCCCGATCGAATGGAACCGTCTTCTACTGCATGCAACTATTGGCTGTTGAATGCACACGTGGCGTGCTCGGCTTGCACACAGCGGAGCATATGGCATCCACTTGCGCAGTCCCTCAGAGCGCCCCACTATCATCCAGCCCGTCTTCCCATCGACATGCAAGTCTGCGCTTGCACGCGTCGCGTCTGCGTCCGAAATAGAGCCGACATGCGTGACCATATTTTTTTGTCTTCCTGCATTCCGCGATCCTCCTGTTCGTCGTCCTCACAGTCCTCCTCCACCTCCCCCTGCTCTCGCTTGTTACTCGTCCCTCCTCCTCGCCTGCAAGATGGAATGAATCTCATGACCGGAAAGTGGGCCTCCCGTTTTTCCCCGTCACCCACCCCGGTTCGTGGGCCCAACGGGCGGCGCATGTATGGCCCCGGGCCCGCCACCCAAAGTCCCTAACCTTCAGACCGGGTCTCGTGCTGCGTCACGCGAGACCCGGCTTTTCCTTTAGTACAGAGACAAGTCGGACCCGCCGCGGCCAAGCCGCAGCTCAGAGATAGGGATGAGATGAAATGACGGAGGAGGGCCACGTCAGCCAAACCAAAATTCCAAGCCTTCTTGGTTTTTGCCAAAACAGAAGGGGAAAAAAAAACGGTAAGCCAAAGGCAAAGGCACCAGCCTGATTAAAAAAAAAAAAAAAAAGAAAAAAAAAAAGAAACAGGTACCAGCTACCAACCGGCGCAGCTCCGTATGTACACAACCCTGAACTGTTGAAATACAGACCTGAGTTCGAACTCCACTGGAAGCAGACGGGCAACATACTACAATTAAAAAAACAAGTGGACCCGCTGCAGCTACGCTGCGGCAAATGTCGATGACAAAAACAATTTGCGGAAACACTCCAGTCATCAGTTGGACCCCATCTTTGCAATGAACCCCCACGGGACGCTGCCCAGTTTTGCAAAACGCCTCGGCAGTTGCCAAGTTTTTGTAGGTGCAATTGTGAAAGGCCAAGCGAATTTGCACACGTGCCTGACAGGGGCGTAAGACAAACATGTCACCCCAAAAGGGCCTTCCACTGTGCCCATATCTTTTAGGGACATTTTGACATTTATGTGAATTTATGGGGGTATTTCGGATTGGTTTGTAATTTAGAAGTTAGAATTATTTTATTGTGGTCGCCGCTGGATTCGAACTCACGTCTTCAATTCAGCAGTTTCATGTGTGTGTGTGTGTGTGTGTGTGTGTGTGTGTGTGAGAGAGAGAGAGAGAGAGAGAGAGAGAGAGAGAGAGAGAGAGAGAGAGAGAGAGAG